ACCTTTTTTATGAAAAAGCGCAACACTACAACTTTTGTAGTCTCAAAAAGCGGACACTACAAACTTTTTTAATGAAAAAGCGCACACTACAAATTTTGTAGTCAAGATAACCTTTTGACTCTAACCCTAACTATGTAGTCTAAGTCCACACTTTTGTAGTCTAAGTTCGACTTTTGTAGTCTTTTGTAGTGTATTAGTAAACTTTGTAGTCTAATTTCGACTTTTCTAGTCTTTTATAGTGTGTCAGTAAACTGTGTAGTCTAAGTCCGACTTTTTTGTAGTCTATCAGTAAACTTGGTAGTCTATATCTGATTCTTATAGTACAGGATGCACCTTCCTTTTTTGGTCATTTTTCCCACGATACAATAATTGTAGCCCTTTCTTTTAGCTTTCTGAATATACTGAAATCATGTTATTTGGTTTTGTTTTCATAGAGAAAAACACCCAAAAAAAAAAGAAAAAACGCGACGCTTTTGAAATTCCTTTACCTCATATCTCCACAACGGGAGCACTTCAGAACATAATTCAAACAGATTCGGGAAGCTACAGTGTAGGGCTACAACTTTCGTTTTTTGACCATTTTTGCCATTGCATGGACCCTGACATGTGGGATACATTTGAAAAATTGCAATGAAATATCCAGGGATACATTTGAAAAATCACAATGAAATGCCAAGGGTATCTATTGAAAAATCACAATGAAATGCCCAGGGCTCCATTTGAAAAATTGCAATGAAATACCCAGGAATACATTTGAAAAATTGCAATGAAATACCCAGGGATACATTTGAAAAATTGCAATGAAATGCCAAGGGTATCTATTGAAAAATTGCAACGAAATACCCAGGAATACATTTGAAAAATTGCAATGAAATACCAAGGGATACATTTGAAAAATTGCAATGAAATACCCAGGAATACATTTGAAAAATTGCAATGAAATACCCAGGGATACATTTGAAAAATTGCAATGAAATGCCCAGGGTATTTATTGAAAAATCGCAATGAAATGCGCCAGGTATCCATTGAAATTTTGCAATGAAATATCCAGGGATACATTTGAAAAATCACAATGAAATACCCAGGCCTACATTTGAAATGCCTTTCAAAAAATCCTAAGCATTATAGATATGGCCTCTAGGCTTAAGTCTAAGTTATAGAAATGACTCTCTAGGCTTAAGTCTAGGTTATAGATAAAAGTGGTAGCCACCAGTCCTGCGCAAGTGCCAGTCAGGCTATGCATCCAGACCTTCACAAGTCGTCAGTTTCTACCAACTGCGTATGTAAATACCACCAATCCATGCTTACCCGAATCTAACTTCTGCCTATATTTGCAAGGCAACAACAGCACAAGTCGGGGACACAGTACCTATGCTGGTGGATGATTCAATGAAGATTCCAGTCATCTGCCAGAAAGGACTTACCTACCGTGTTACATGTCCACCCTCAAGTGCATCGATGAGGTCCAAAGAACCAGTGGAGGGGGATGCAGCCAACGAGGCCATTGATGTTGATGCAGACAGGGGCCTCTCAGATGGCATGATGGGCATCCCCCCCGAGTCGATGGTCGACAGCGAGAGAGATGGTTTGGGAGTTGGCGAGTGGGAAGACAAAGGAGAAGATGGCGAAGACTTCGTGATGGAACAGAACCAAACTGATGATGAAGAAGCTGTGCTGCCTTCTGTAAAAGGCAAACAGGTCGCAAAGGCCAAAAAGAACAAGGTAACATACCAGTTTGTGCAACATCCCCTCTGACACATCCTCTCCAGGCACCACCTCGTGGAACATTTCGACAAGACATTCAGGAACTCCACCAGAATCCAGCCATTGCTGGTGCTGTCGTATCAACAAACAAACGCAAGGATGTTGCAACAGTTGAGGACACACTGAGGTGAGTACACATTTTGCTGTAGCAACATTGTGTTGATATAGGGGACTGAACTAGTGCGAAGTGAGGAAAGAAAACGGTTGGCGGCTTACTCCCCGGCTGGCAGAAGCAGGTAGGCTACCAGTCTGGTATGAAGAAACAAACCGCTCCTGCTCGAAACGTTGACAACGATCAACTTGACGACTGTGATTTGGGTGAGTTCAACCAGGAGGAGACCTCAGAGGGCCTGGCTGCTGTGCGAGCATCAAAACCGTCAATGGTCAAGGTTCGAGAGGGACAGAAGGGGGTTGAACCAGTGAGTTAATCGTCTTCTCCTTCTTTTCAAAGCTTTGATTTTATCACCCTTAGAAAATCAAGATTACTGAGAAGTCTGTCACCAACGTCGATGCCAGTGGACCCAGAGGTCGCGGCAAGCGTGGCAAGTTCACCACCAGCTCACTTCCATTCCCTGGTGGTGCCTTGGGTGCAGCATATGTCGCAAAGTGGAAGAAGGTTGCGCATGCAACAATTATTGACAGGGGAGCTGTGGAGCTTTGCGCTTACAGTTCTATTGGCGCATTTACGCCGCTCGTCGTCCAGGACATATGGAACGAGGTCTTCCCAGACCTCGATATGTATGAACACACACAGTCCACGGTGGAGGAACCTGTCGACGCCATCATCGCTCTCATAAGAGACTCACTCCTTTGTCAACCATTCATGTCTTTCACTAACTTCCATATAGGCTGGGGATGTCCTTACCGACTGGCGCAGCAACATCGGAACCAGTGCACTACAAATCCTCTCAAACTTCTTCTGGGAGCAGTCCCTCACTCAAGACGAAATTATCGCTTATTGCAAACCTGAGCAGCTCAACTTCAAGTTCATATACTGAGATCCCACGGCCCCTCCGGTATGTACTGAACTCTACCTCCCCAGGCATCCTCCATTGATCATCATCACAGGGCAAGAAAGGCAGACTACAGTCCGACCTCATTCTTCAAGTTTTTACCTGCCACTTCAAGAAAACGGCCTTTGCCGCAAAATCTTATGGTCTTCCAGTCGGAGGATTGGGATTGTCCATGGCCGCGGTATGCTACAACAGTCCTCGCACCATTTGAATACTAATATCAGCTCAGCTTGAACGTGCCCTCTCCCTCTGGTCCTCTGGCGTGGATCCCATCAAGGATGAAAAAGGCAACAAAAAAACTGTATCCATGTTTGGCGAGAGTGAGTGGGGTGAAAAATCACACTCCTGGATCTCAGCAGCCACGCGACTCACGCTGGAAGACTGGGCATCGATTCTCACTGAGGCAAACACCCGGGCAGGGATCTTTTCTGCTGACGAGGAGGAGGAGGAGGATGGTGTTGATCTGCGAACTCTCGTTGAACTCTAGTATGCTTTTTTTTCTTCTCTCCCTTGCTGTTTTATTGACCTGCACCTAGATGACTGCCAACATTCTTTACATTCATTTCCCCGAGCATTCAAAAAGCATTGTATACGTGCATAAAAGGGTTGTAGTCAATTTATGTAGTCTACCAAGTACCCCCAATATAAAATTCCACCATTGAACCTGCTCTGACCTGTCTGTAAGCCTCTCAAATTCGACACCGTTTGGCCAAGTCGCAAAGAATTGTGGTCATTTGGGTCTCATTTGGCCGATTTCCGGCTAATTAAAACGGATCTCTTTTTTTGGCTGAGCGGATAAACTTGGGTGCTCGGATATCTTGGCAACATCGGACGACCGGCCCAAGCCCTCCCAAACAAAGTGCGATCTTGCTGATGTAGTGTCGTTTGAAGGTCCTGAAGAGACAAGAGGTTTACGTGTCTGTGTTCTGGAGATATGTTGCATTTTCTGTTTTGGTGGGGGGTGACTCAGTCTCGGGCAATTCTTAGCTATTTTCTATGATCTTAGGTTCATTTACAGTATATTCTATTACTAGTTAAATAATATGTACAACAAAAGCCAATTTTATTTGTTTTGAATGAGCTAGCATGTGTGGTTGATGAGGCTCAAAATCCCGGCTCTAGCCGGCTCAAGCAGTAGCCAAGCCAGATCCATCAGCTCGGCTCAGCTTGGCTTTAATTTCGGCTCAGCTGTGGCTTGAACCAGCTAAAAGCCAAAGCCGCGGCAAGGGGGTGCCGGCCCGGGAATCCTGTACCGGGACCCGGTTAGTTAGTCCAGCCACAGGCTGTGAAAAAAAAAAAAGGACACCTTGGGCAGAGGGCCTTCAATCATGAAGTTGAGTACTTTGCAGCATAATATAGTAACTACAGAATGTACTGGGAGGAATACAGCTCCAATAGAGGCCATCAAGCACCATGATATAAGATATTCATCAATTCCTGCCATATTTGGGCATTTTTTTGACATTACTTGAATTACCGTTGACCAACAATATCCTAAAATCTACAGTATATCTAACATTGGTTTCATTCTATGTATCACACCATTGAGACAGAGCCAGCTGTTCTTGATGCGGAGGGCTTCGCAATCTGTCCAGATTGTGGCAGCCGTGTATCCATCAAATTCTCATATGCAAACAAGGTGTGCGAGAAACGCTGGGTAAGTACATTGTATTATGAGAACTGAGTGATTTTCCAACTCACGTTATATGCCTAGTTCCACCTAAAAGTGTGGAACATGTGCAAGCACCCCGGAATTGTGCCTGCACAACTTGTGCAAAACGTGGGGAGAGCGCTCACAAATGATGTCATATTACTATATATAGACATGTTCCTGATTATGTTAGTTAGTTAGTCCCCCTCAAGGTCGCCTTAAAAAAAAAATCGACCCCAGGTCTTTTTTTCCAATGCCGGCACCCCCTTGAGCTGCGGCAACACTACTAGGGAGGGGGGAACCTGAGAGGCCTTAAACGTGTAACATATGATTGTGTCATGTACTTTTACTTTCGGTACCCCTTGTGTCCAATGTGTCGCTGTCCTGATTTGGGGAGTGTGACGATGTTGGTACGCCCTGGCAGATAATGTCGGCCTCAATCTGTCTTTTTTGGTGCAATATATTGTCAAAGTTTTTTGAAGGAAGTGTGTGACGTACTTATGACTATCTACAGAGTGGGTGTAGTATCCATTGAGAAACACCTCATGTCCAAAATCTCAGACTTTGCCAGGCAGATAATTACCTGGCAGCACAATGATCGGTAAGCCATAAGGTAGACGACAACCATACACAACCAACCCTCTGTGACGTGACATAACACTCCTTTTTTGGCAAACAGAAATGAGAAAAGTCGAAGAAAAGGCCATAACAATTCTGTGCATAAAGTTAGGGAAAATCGATGACCATAGAACTATTAGAATTAGTGCTCCAAAGATATATACAAATTTATAAAGTAGGAGAATGAAAATTGGGGGAGGAGATACAAAAATACTATGGTAGGTTCCTGAAGCTCAGATTGACCGTCAAAAGCCTTCGTCGCATCAAAGTTTCGATCCAAAATTGACTATAATGAATTCCTAAAGGATTCATATCTTGCGGGGGTTGTTGTTCTCTGATATTTGTTAGTTAAGATGCGTCCTTGAGTAATTGAACACCCAATCCCCTCATTCTCCTTTGCAGTTTTAGCTTTTTGTTGTTTTCTCACCTCTATGTAAGTTCTATGCTCTGGACTGGAGGTAATTGCTTTGCTTAGGCATGGTTCTGGCCTAATGAAGAGGATTTGCGCATGTGCCTTCAAATTGACGTGTCGTGAAGTATTTTTGTTTCTTTTCCCTCAAATTTCGTTTTACCGCTTTAATTTTTTTTGTGCTCCATGAAATCTGCATTCGGCTCAGTTCTATGGTTTCCGATTAGCTGCGATTCGTGTTCAAAATATTCTAGGACATTATCTGTGTAATTGAGGCTTAAAATGGAAATGTCACGCTGTGCACGTGACGTTGGAAGGATATGGTTGTCGTCTACCTTATCAAAGTTCTCATATACATGGGTGAGGTATATATGAACGGCTTGTATGTACAGTAAGGGAGCGTGAACAGATAATGATGATGCATGGTACCATATATATGCTAAGAGTCAAGATAGTGTGGTCTATGAGGGGAAGCAAAGAAGAAAACATCGAGAAGAAACAGGAAAAAGAAAAAGGGACCAACAAACAAGAAGCAGAGGAATAGGCTTCCTCTTCAGCCCATTGCTACTGCTACTCAACGCACTATCATCGCTCCCCACATCACTAATCATAGGCATAACCCACCCCCTTCTCCGTTCCCATGGCCGTAACTGATAATCATGATGTCCGACTCGCGGATCGAATCGGAATGACGTTCATGCCCATATCCGCGGGGGCTCCTCCTCGTCGTCGTCGTCGTCGTGGAGGAAACAGGACTCTTCATCGTGTGTGAGGTACGACTGGGGGCTCTTCATCGACGTCGGCGTCTGAGGGACCTTGGAGTTCTTACTCCCCTGCTTCACCACCCTCAAAGTACAAACTCAACTTGGCGGAAGGACCCGATCATTCATGTTCCTCGCGAATCGAGCTGATCGTCGAGGATGACCACTTCAATTTGAGAGTGTTAAGATGAGGGTGAGACGTCGAGGATGGTGGGCTGCATAGAAGCACATCATCGGTATTCTTCAAGGCGGCTGGCGATGTCCGTTTCCAAGTTGACCTTAGGACTCGAATGGAGCGAGAGGGGTAGCATCATCGGATACTCAGCCTCCCCTTCCACGTGCACATCCAGATCCAAGTCGACGTCGAATCGGAAGTCATCCGATTCAGACGAAATGAACGGGCGGTCCTTAAGTCCAGGCCATCCTCGTAAAAGGAAAGCGAGAACACGGAAGACTGGTCGTCCGTTTCGAAGACACAATCTGCAGGGATGCTTGAGTGTGGATGTGGTCTGCGAAATGAGGACGAGCGTGGGATGTTGTTGCACGAGAGTGGAAGGATTTAGGGGACGTTGGGAAGGGTGAGGAGAGGTGGTTCACGTCACTGGAAGAAGAGATAATGGAGGAGGAAGCGGAGGAAGAGCGGACGAGCGTTGGGATGGTAGATGGTCGGTAGTTCAGTATGATTTTGCTTTGTCATTTGCCAGCAGGAGGGAGAGGAAGGTGGGAGTGGGAGTGGTTTCGAGTACCGGATGGAGTGGCGAGGGGACGAATATTGATTCGGGGCGTGAGGGGATTCGTGTCATGGAGAGGGGAGAGTGGAGGATGAGAATTTTGGAGGACTCTCTGGTGTACCATTCTAAGTCAGATTCGCCCTCCCCGTAGTCAGGTTTGTAAAACCATTCTTCGCATGAGGATGAGGGGAAGAGCGGGATGGGTCTTTTGATGGAATTCTTGAACGGCTGGAGGAGTGACGCCGAAATGGGGCGCTCACTGTCTTTGAACGGGGACGTTCGCGGCGAACCATTGTGCTTGGCAATGACGAGCGGCTTGATAGCTGCTCTGCGGTAATTGGACTGCGGAAAAGAAAGGGACAGCTCGTCGTCGTTCGCGGCAAAGTTCTGAATCGCGAACAAGGACCGAAATCTGAAGATGAGATGGACGATGTAGAAGAGGCGCAAGGATGAAGTGAAGAGGGAGTTGAGATGAGTGGATGCGTGAATTTGAAGGAAACATCAATAAATGTCAAGCTGAATGACCGAACCAGTCAAGGGACCGTATCGGACTGGGCGCAGTAGGTGGACGATAGGCAGGTTGGGATGCGGAGCGAAGGATGTCGTTTCCGTTCCCATCCCAAGTGGCTATATGCGTGCAAAACCACTTCAAACCGCACACCTTGCGCGCATTCACGCTCTCCTCCCTTCTCTCCATTGCCAAACCCATGAACTCGGTCGTCCACGTCAGCGACGTCTTTCCCTTCAAGCTGGCCGTGAGGGATTCGTATAGGTTCGAGAGATGTGAAAGAAGGTCGATTTTTTGGAGAATCTGGAGCTGGATAATAAAAGACGTTTGGTAGATCCTCCTCTGTGAAGAGAGGGGTGGGTGAGGTTAGAAGGGAAAGGGGATAGGGTAGGAGTACCTGTGATATAGATGTAGAGACAGGTGGTCAGGCTACAAATTCTGGCATATCAGAGGAGCAGTGTGCGTGAATCTGTGATGGTGGTAAGTTCTTGTAAGAACTGGGTTAAATGAAGAGAACGAACCTTGGACCCTTTCGGCATCTCCTTCCCTCGAAGTCCCCTACGTGTCGGCCTCTGCCTCATGGGTACGTATCACCAGTGGGTTCCACAGTCTAACGACGCGTTTGAGTTGCCGTCCGAACGCCTTGCGTCGTAGGCCATGGCTTCTAGGGGGCTAAGGTCAGAGATGTCATCGATGAAGCTTGAAGCCCAGTGAAAACCGGCTCTGTTCTCAGCCGCAAGTATCTGCGGATTCCCGGCAGATATCGGAGATCGTCGGCAGAGCAGAAAGGCGCTGGTAGACTGGGATTTCGTCCCTTTTGCGGATTTTTTTCCGCGAGGCTCCGCCTTGAAAGTCACCATTTTGATACAAATGGCCGAAATTTCTGCTTAAATCGGTTCCTTTCCGCCTGCACCTGCACTTTGCGGTCGTTGTCTGTAGCTGGTGAATATTTTGTATTGATTCAGAAATGTGCTATATTCCGTTACTATCTGCGATTCCCAGTACTGAAACCATCCCCATCCACATACCCCCGCGCCGCTGATAGTCAGAACGGCTCATAATTCTCATCCACGACCATCCGTCCCTTCGACTGACAAGGCTCTACCCCGAAGTGGCTGTGTATGGGGATGGAACACGGAAGGAAGGATATTAGTTTGCGAGCTAGCGCTAACCTGGACTGAAAAGTTACGCACCTTGGTAAATGCGGCGCCGCCGAGCAGGATTGAGCAAAAATAGGGCGCATATATGCATGATAAATGGTCAGAACTTTATCTAACTGTGCCAAAAAACTACTCACCGAGATGTTATTGTGTGAGAGAACGCGTACGGCCGGCTTGTCTACATGAAGGTGAGGATTTAGTCATTTGAACAACAAGGCACTTACGGCGAATCAAATGCACGATTCCCACCACATCGAACTCCCATGATGATGTACCCTCATTGTTCTGATACGTCCACAAGGGGCTTGCCGAGGGATGCACGCAGCGCGGAGCGATGTTGGAAGTCCTGCAGTCCTGGACTCCTGGAAGACAGAATGAAGGGGAAAGTGGGGGAAGGAAGGAAAGAGAAATGGGAATCATTTGAGGGCATCTGATATATATAATCACCCAGCGTCGACTTGCAAACAGAGTTTTGAATGGAAAGAAAGAATTTTGTTGTAAAACAGGTTGGTGTCGAGTCGAAAAAAAGTAAGTACAATTATTTCACTCGATTTAAGGCACTGAATGTTAAATTCAGTAAATTGCGCCCATCAGCGGATTCCGTTTTTCCGTGAGAAATCATTTCTTCCAAAGCCCTTCTACCCTGACTTCCACCCCTTTCATCTCGCCTGCATCTCTCTCGACCCCCTTGCAACCCCCTCTTTGTTGTGGCCAACCCAGGCGACGCACTCGGCACTAGGCCACGCGACGCGCTCAACAGTACCCCACGTACTCAACACTATGCCACGCGCTCAACTTGAACACTACGCCACGCACTCAACACTACGCAACGCGCTCGACATTACGTGACACGCTCGACATTACGCGACGCGCTCAACACTATGCGATGCCGCGTGATATTTAGGACTCAATGCTCATGTTGTGCCCCCCTCGAAGATCTCGTCAATCTTGGGAAATGGAAGGCTAGGTTTAGTTTTGAAACTTCTTTTTTGCCTCATAATATACATCTCATGTAAATATAATTACCTGCAATATCATGGGAATTACATGAATTTAAGGCCTAAATGACAGAAAACAAACATTCAGCCAATGTGATATAGCAGAGGGTTAGGTCCCTGAGCCGAAAGACCCTTAAATCGGGTGCAGGGATAGGCCAGCTCATGGAAATACACCTTAAATTGAGCTGGTTGGCATCACGGGGTGTTAAATCCACTAAATTGAACTTGATTTAAGCTAAATCCATCCCACATAAGCAGTTATGCCGACTTATGTGTGCTTTTCTGACTTATTTTCAGTCTCTTGCAGCAAACCACCTTCCAAATATCTCTTTGAAGAGCAAAAAAAGGGGTGAACATGCAGTGGCAGGTCCACCAAAGAAACTCTGAAAGTTTTGTATATTTCCCAAGAATTTGGCAGCACCCAGGCCCCAATCAAGGATGTGATGTGAGGTCCATTTTGGACAAGGGCAGCATATTTGCCCAGGGAAAGTCAGTACTGAGAATTTTTTTGCATTTTCGGGTATAATAAATACAAAATGGTTGACCACAAGCGAAATTTTGGGAGGGGACGAATCAGTGGGACGAAGCGGCGGGGGAGG